TTGCCAGTCTAATACAAAATATGCTTGGAAAAATCATGGATCCATCTCCTCACTTCAAAATTATCCATTCAATAGCAGATCTGTCTTGTCTTTCTAGCTGTGGTTGGCAACCAGTCTATGAGAAAGAAAACACTGAATTCAAAACTGTGGAGAGGGCAATTGGAAACAACATGAATATCTTTTGCAACAACACAGTTCTGAGATATTAAAAAGTGAATGGAAGCTTTGGAGATCCATGATTAACTTTGTCCTGAAGGGTTGTTGCATTGAAAGAGGCCACTGACAATGATACAATACTAGTTTTTTACGTTTGTCTTAGTGGGGTGCACTGCCACAGATCTAATCCACACTGGAGATGAAATGCAGGACCTTTCAGCTGTCAGACAACTTCTCTAATCATAAAGCTAAGCATTCAGGTGCTAGGCCTGAAGGCAGAATTCTCCTTCATCCTGAAGCTGTTGTAATAATAACAGCAGCATGAGAGATAAGAATGTAATTGTGCAGTGGTAAGTAAAAGGTTTGAAGGTGATAAAGATACATAGGGAAATGTAAGTGTTTGGGAAAACAAAGCCTGGCAGAAACAAAAGAAATTAGAGTTGTACAGACATGAGCCAGTAGTCAAATGTGGTTGAGGCATGCAAGCAGAAAACATAATACGGCACTGAGAAGAAGGGGGTGAGACAGCACAATGATTTCCCAATGCTTGAAAACAAAAAATTAGCATAAGGAATAGTTGGTTACCTTGCTTCACATCAGGTTTTTGTTTTTACTTCTTTTCTTATTGAATCCAACAACCCAATTATCATAATCTCAAGTAAATTTCAACTAACATTAATTTATTTCAATTAATTTCTCATTAGTAATCATCATCGAAAAGTTGGATTGGAATAACAATGCCCAGAAGCAATTAGTCCATGAGATTTTAATGATTGGTGATTGTAAGTAATGGAGATGAGAGTATTTTACAAAGTACTAAAGATTTCTTTTTTGTTCTGTTAGTGAAGTCAATATGATTTCTATGAAGTCAGTCAGGTTTTAGACTGTCTTATGTCTGGGGTTTTGATTATTGTGAAAATTAAGATGACATAATCTGGACAAATATTGAATGACAGTATGAGATGTTTGAAGTATCTGGTGTATATTGAATAGGGGCATAATGATGACAAATTTATTAAAACAGAACATTAATTGGCTAAACAAAACAATGATTATATATATATATATATATATATATATATATATATATATATTAGATGATCAAGAACTGTAAGCCATGTGCCATTAGTTAAATAAACATTTCTTTTTTTATTACTCTATAAATGAAATTAACTTTATAAATGGTGTGTTTAGGTAGTAAGATTTTATCCAAACAAGTTTTATTAAATTTCACTGACAAGGTCCATTTTTTATTGTATCTATTATTAATTGTATCTGAGTTGAGGTGTTGATCATCTGGATTGAAGGTATGAAGATTTTTTATTGTTATATTCAAGTACTTTTGACTATCACAGTGAATCTCAAGAATGAGCATTATCAGTATGGTAAGCAAGATATGTTTTACTAAATTCTGGAGTTTTTAGATTGCTGGAATTAGATTTGGGAATGGTTAAATGGAGAATCATGTATATATTTTGGGTATATAGTCTAGCCAATTTCATTTTCTTCTTTTTCTTTTTGTTCATGTTTCCATCACTTTTGTTATTAAATATCCCACCCTGTGATAATAGAAGATCTGCCAAGAAAGGTAAGAACCTCGATGTAAATTTACTGTAGATAATCTAGCGATTAAAGTACATTCTTAACATTTCCGTCTTAGTAAATTACTTTTTCTTTTAATTAAAGTAGCATTTTTTTAAGTCAAAATTATGGTCTGTCTCATTACAATGAGTAACTAATGCAATGAGTGTGTTGTTTTGTAAGAGATTCCTTTTATCTTCATATAATATTTTAATTAAATTCCTGGAGGTTTCTCCTATTTATTCCTTGTGGCAATTATTACAAGTAATAAAATTCCTCCTTCAAGTTTTAACTTATTATATTATTTTGCATTAATTCTTTTACTATTTTAGATGTACTTGTAACAAATTTTATGTTGAGTTTAGATAAATTCTTTTCAGTTGTAGTTGAGATATAGTTGGTGTGTAGAACAATATATTTTGATTTGTTAGGTTTGTCAGGAAGACCAAGTTTTCTATTATGAAATATTTTATGGCCTTTTTTTTACATTGAATATGAAATAATTTAGGTATTGGAGGAGCTTAAAATTATTTTGCATGTATTTTTCTTCTTCATGTAAATACTGAAGATGACAAATTCTGAGAGCTCTTAAATAGAATCTGATGATTATTCCAGATGAACATTTGGCTAAAACTAAGTGTCCATTGCAACTCAAATAATAAAAATGATCTCATAAATTTCTGTTCTCACCATCAAAACAAAACAAAATCTGGAATAATCATATTTTGTTCTTGAAAGATAAACAGTATCTTTTTTTAATTAATTTTTATCTTACATTTTCTTATCTTATTACTATAAACATAATTTTTGGTGGGAATGCATATTTGAGTTATTTGTTATTTTATTTATATATATATATATATATATATAATAAACCAAGTAATCATTAAAGTAAAGAAAAAGTACCCAAAAAATCAATCCTACTAACACTAGCAAAGAAGAAAAAATGAAAAGAGTAAGAAAAGGAGGAAAAGACAGACAGACATCTACCCAAACAAAGATTTATAGTGCTCAACACCTCTAGAATATAAACTAAGATGGAGCTGTAACAAAATAAATAAATGTTCAGAAACCTCAACAGAAATCATGCCTAAGGAGATCTTCAGACAATAAAGATATTTTATAGACTGGAGGGAGAAGAGAGCGATTCATACCTTTTCCAAGAGTGATTTGCACATCTTAACTGGAATATGAACTTCAGTCTTCTTGCTATTCATTACAGTACATGCATAGTCAAAATTCATGATTCTCACTGGGGAAAAAAAGTTATGTTGATGGATCATCTTCTAATGATATATATATATATATACATATTTTGAACAACAAAAATATTGAAAAATTAAAATTTTCAGACACACTGGGTTGTATATTAATATTTTTTTGCTTTATTATTTCAATTAGGTTTCTTGACTACTTTCAGCCAGCATGGCCATCATCAGGAGAATAAACTTCCTGCTTGTTAGTATCAGTGAACTACAGGAATGAATGACTTTCTGAAGAAAATGAATTTTCTGTTTTTTTATCGTTAATTTTGGTCAGTCCTTGTGTTGGTCAAACAGCTCTTTTTTAAGTTGTTTTTTAAGATAGAGGCTGGATAGATTCATGTGACTCTGAATTCCCTTGATCATTTTGACAGTTTTATTAGTTCCTGGGAAGGGGATGTGTTTGTTAAGTGTATGTTGTCATTTAGTTCTTCGGGAGTGTGTATAAGGTGTGTAAGTGTATATATTAATATGGGTGTGTGTATAAGTGTATAACCTCACCATCTCCACAAGCATGCCTGTTTTGTGTGGGTGAGAAATGTGGTTAGGGCTTGATTTATAGAGTTATATATTCTACCTATGTTGTTAAATTTGTGATTAAGCATGTCCGGATGGAGTGTTTTGAGGTGAAAAATCCATTTGTCATCAGGGTCTTCTAGAATTTTTCTAATATTATCTTTTCTGTCTTTTTCTATTTTTTCAATTATAGTGAATTTGGCATGGCTTTCAAAATCATGCTTTTCTAAGTGGAAATGTAGTTCTACAGGTAATAATCTTTCATGAGGAGTCAACTTAATTTGATTATGATAATTATTAATTCTGCAGTGAAAGTGTCATTCAGATTTTCCCACATATTGTTTCTAGCATAGTGTGCATTCTAAGAGGTAAATTATGCTCTGACTTCTACAGTTAGTCATGGCAGATTTTGAAAGTAGATTTAGTGACTGAGCTAGTGAACGAATTGGTGTGTCTAATATGGTTACATAAGCTCCTTTTGTTGTTACATGGTTGGGAAAACACTCTTGTTTTTATTTTCAGACTATTATGGATTACCTTATCCTCTAAAATATGGTTACTACCTATAATTTCCTTAAGGTTCTTAGGATTACAATATGCTAGAAGGCTGGGTTCCTCAAACATAATTTTTAGGTTTAGTTTGAGATGTAGCATTTCCCAGTGCATTTTGAATATCTGGAATATTGGAGGAAGAGTAGGGCTGAAAGTGGTTACTATAGGTATGCGTCTGGATTTATTTTTAATTTTGTACATTTGGGTATATTTTCTAGGTGTGGAAATTGCTTTATTTATTTGTTCCCTGATTAGGTGTTGTTTACACATGATGAGAATGAATAGAGTACAATTCTAACATTTGTAACATTTAATTTAAAAGAGGGCTCAATACAAAGTAGAGCAATATTCTTTATTTTAGGATATTACATCCAAAACATGTCAAAATTGCTACACAATTGCAGTCGTGTTTCGATGCGTATACAACACATCACATGATCCTGATGAGATGCATTGTATACGCATTGAAACATAACTGCAATTGTGTAGTGATTTTGATATGTTCTCAATGTAATATCCTAAAATAAATAAAATGTGTGTGTATATATATATATATATATATATATATATATATATATACACACACACACACAAAAAAAAAAAAAAAACAGTGATTATCAAAATTATAGGCACAGATTAATAGTACTTTTTTTTTAGTTGGTTGGTTTTCTATGGTGTATTAATAATCAGATTATTTAAAGCCAGAAAATATTTTTAGATTGTAAGAATTTTTGGTAGGTGGAGGATAATAATGGTTTAGTTATACAAATCTTACTAATTAACAACTAGCTGAGGGGAGAAAACATGGCTTCATACCTTTCCCAAGGCTATTTGCATGTAAGTGAATATAACAAAATCCAAATGTAATAGTAACTTGACTTTCTGATTAACAATTCTAAATCATTATCCATTACATCACCTACATGTGCAATCTTACAGTGCCTGGTATTCCCAAGTGGTCACCCATCTAAGTACTGATTAGGTTTGATATTGCTTAACTTCAGTGATTGTATGTGAACTGGAGTTTCAATATAATAAGGCCATAAGCCATTATTTTTGTGTGGGTATAAATAAATTTTAAACATGGTTAATAAAAAGAAAAAAACGATCTTGATAAATTTACACCAAATGCATTGCATCCAACAAATTTCACTGATGGAAACCACCTTAATTCCCTTGAATATTGCAGTAGTAAATAGTTCCATTTTAACCATTTCTTCTTATGAACCACTACTTTGAACTGATTAACAAAAGGATGCTTTCCAGATCACTACAATCTTAACCTGTTCAAGTTTAGGGTTAACTTTCCACATATACTTATAAAATATACCTCTTACTCTTACTGCTCACACAACGACCTCCTTCAGTAACCCTCTACCTTAAATGGCCCTTGGGCCTTGTATAGGGTGAATATTAGTGTAAAAAAATAGTTCCCCTGGGAGCATACACAGTGATTCAATGTCTTAAAAATACTGGAGAATTCCTCTTTTTGAAGTCTGTGTAATACAAACTGTGATTCTGTTTGAATTTTATCTACAAATCTCAAATTGATGACCCTTCAGCTTCAATTTCATTTGGAGGAAACAGTCATAGGATGATAGGATTTTTTTTTTCATATTTTCTGACATTTTGCTGGTTATTGGACACTTTGAACATTTATCAGCTTGGCACTTGATCAGCCTAAAAAAACTGTCTAATCTAAGGAAACATTTGCTGAAAGCCTCAGAAAACATTTCGAAGGTTTCAGGAAGAGATTTGACATGATTTTTGCAAACTTTTATGCAGGTACATTGCTTGACTTGGCTCTGTAATTTTTACAATGACTGGCAATTCAAACATGTTAGGAAACCCAATCTAATAATGCAACACGTGTATAAAGCCTATTTGGTAGATTGATTCAGAGGGCTGGATATCAATTAGTAACAGCTGCACAAATATTTCCATTTAATGGTACAACCATAGCATGCACAATCACTAACCAGATATGAAAAGCACAGAATGATCACAGTATATATCCACAAATCAAATAAGGTATTTGTTTCAAATATCTTTGAAATTTTGTAAATAATGAGAAACAGAGTAAATCAACTGCATTGTGATCAAAAAACAAAAGTGAATATAATCATTTTTAATAAAGTTACAAAATAGAAACAAGATAGAAAAAATATTCTGATTTATCTATATACTAGCTTAAAAGCTGCCCTATTGGGTAGCATTTAAGCTAGCTCCTATAGAAGGCTCTTGATTGGGCCTTCACAATAGGTATGGACGAGTAGATGCAATAGGCAACAATATAACTCAAAATTGATCTCTGCATTTAGGTATTGCATTAATACTAAGTTTACCATTTAAAAAGTTTAACGATAATTCTTCTGATGTCACTTAAAGACAATTTGATGTATGTAGGTCTTTACTTTCTGTACAAACAATTACGTTTATTTCATGGGTGTATTTCATTGGATTTCACAATTAATTTTGATTATTTTCATATTTATTTCCAACTTATAAAAATTGTTATTGTACAAAAAAATTTGTTTTTGGCAGTTTTTTTATACGATTTTTTGTGACAATCACAATAATGAAAACTTGTGAATCCAAAATTTCAGGATTGCAGGTCTGGATCTTGCATGGAATGGTTTTAATTTGTTCACAGAGTTGGGCTGATTCCAAAATGGTATGATATGTTGGACTATGGCCTCTAGGAGTAAAACTGAGGGAGTGTGACTCAGTGACACACTGACATTCACATTTATTATATAGATTGATGAATAAAGACAAAAGGAAAACTTATCTTAGACAACGTGTTTTGTTTTCTGAGGGACTTTATCCAAGCATATGTATATTACTACCATACAGAGTCAAGAAACTCTGTCACTTCCACTTTCAACAATTTTTATTTTCATCTAGGTTTCTTACTTACCCTCTACTTTTCTTCCTTCTTTCTTTGCTATTCCCAGTTCTGTGTATTGAAACACCAATTCTTGTACGATCACCAAAGTTAAGTAATGTCAAGCCTGGTCAATACCTAGATGAGTGACCATTTGGGAATACTTGGTTCTGTAAGTTTGATTATGTAGGCAGTGTAATGGATAACAGTTTGGAATTGGAAATCAGAGAGGCAAATTCCAAAACCCCCCAAAAGATTCTTACAATCTAAAAATATTTTTTTTTAATTTTAATTAATGTGCAGAAGATTGATAAGCTGTAAAATGCAAATCAATCATTAAAAAAAACGATTTTGTGATCATGTGAAAATTAACAGATAGGCTATTGATAACTAGACTGTGTGAAATACAGATTACATGGAGAAGAGATATTAGGTAGATTGCACAGTTACTCTGATCTAATCTTATCATTTTAATGGGTACTATGTGAGTTAAGACAAATGTGTATTAAATGTATTATCTAATAATTCAAGACATTAAAATATAAATGTAGATTCTACAAGTTATTTCAATTTTTTTTTAAATTAATTCACTCCAAACAAGGTGATAATGTCACTAAGATGCAAGAGGCTACTAGGATTGAAAGAGAATGAAAAGACTTGAGAAGGAACTGGAAAACCAATTATAAATAGGGAACAAGTGATAAACCTCTGCTTCTGTTCAAAATATCAGGGAGGAGTGTGAACTGAACAATAGGCAAACATAATTACTCCTATTGAGGAGACAAAAAAATAAGTAAAAAAATTTCAGGTGTTTAGAAGTATAGAGTTGAAGTAGACTTTACAAGGAACTAGTATTTTTATAACAATGACTGGCTTAACATATTCTTGGATATTCCTTACGTGGAAACATCTGATGGATTTTTTTGCTTAAAAATGGCTCCAAGATTCAATTGACAAAGTTTATTTTTGCCGGCATGAATCTTTGTTGTTCAAATAAATAAAAGAGGAAAAATAATCATCATGATGTGAAAAAGACCAAAGAGCACATATGATGGAAAAAAAAAAAACAAGGATGAAATCAAGTTTACATAATTCATAAAATAATGTCAATGATTGATTGTGGAACTTTATACAGCATAAATGAAGAGTGGAATTTTGAAAGAATACAATTTATACAGAGCGTCCAAAACTCATACTACCAATGAAAACTTGTTCAAATTTGATATATGACAATATATAATTTGGAAATTTTATGCATCTAATATGGTGTCATGCAAGTGTTCTCCACTTGCCTTGTTACAAGTGCATGTTCTTTTCCAATTGCAGTGTAACTTTTGAGGCACCCTGTATCATTAAAATTGGCTCTATTTGTCTTTGGTTAAATTATCATTTAAAGCAGCTTCTGCTTAGTTGAGAAAACCATTTAAGATTTGAGGGCAGCAAAAGCTGACACTCCACTGCTAAGTGAGTGACAGAAGATTAGGTAAATATATCAACAAAAGAGAAGGAAAAAAAAAAGAGAAAAAAGAACAGGGGTGGGGAGTTGGAATGGGTGGAATGACTGGAATGAAAACAAACGTAAAAAGTAAAAAAGAAAAGTTAATACGCAAAAAGGAAAAGATCAAGGTTAGAGGCATAGAAAGAAAAAAAAAAAAAACATGGAAAAAAATAAAAGAATTTAAACAAGAATTTATTCAATACAAGGAAAAGTCTGATTTAAAAAGTGAAAATGCCAGAAGCAGGAATCCATCATTATTACTAACCTTATAATCTCAAAAATAAATTGTCTCAATATTTTGAAACAATCCTCAAGAGGTGTTTTTTTTTTTTTTTTTTTTTTTTTTTTTTTTACAGGTTTACACATTGCCTGTATATTTTTTTTATTGGAATAAATATGTACATACCTCTGTCTCATAATAGTGATTACATTTAGTGTCAGAAATGTGTATAAAAATCTAACAGAACTTATAAGGCCAAGATAGTATAAATTGGAACTCCTATATCATAACAGCTGTTACTTTCAGAATATGAAATGTGTAAGCAAATGTACCAATTATTATGAAACAGTGGTAATTTTATTTAATATTGTTTGTCCCATAATAGGTGTTACATTAATTGCAATGCTTAATTCAACTACATTTCATAATGCTCATCGAGCAAGCATAGATTAGAAATATAGAAATAACCTGACCAGACTTGAACTGGCATACTGTATCCTTGGTAACCTATTAATTAAGAAATTCAGATAAGAATATTATCTTTACTATTATGACTAGACCAAAATCAACAATATGTCATGGAGAAAAATTGGATGAGAAAATGATGCAAGTATGCAATGCCACATTGTATTAGACAAGTCAATGTTTTTATAATTAAATGGGTTTTAACCAATTGATGAAATTTTTATGATATATTTATATGAGTAATGCTTGTAATATTTCTACTTATTCATTGTAATATAGCAACAACTCTAAGTAGAAGCTTATGAAGCTTTATTTGACTCAGTCAGCTTTAGTGCTGAAAAATGTTTAATTTATTGTGATGGATGGTTACAGGCGAGATGGGATGTGTTATTCTATTACCACATTCATCGTAAAATGTTTGAGAGAGAGTCATATTTTATTATATTAGTTCTATATATCCTCATAAACTGCACTTGTTACCTCTTACCACTTACATAACAACAACCCCAGTCAATAACTAAAATTTTTTCCTTCTCTTTTGTTGATATACTTACCTAATCTTCTGTCACTCACTTAGCAGTGGAGTGCCAGTTTTTGCTGCCCTCAAATCTTAAATGGTTTTCTCAATGAAGCAGAAGCTGCTTTAAATGATAATTTAACCAAAGACAAATAGAGCCAATTTTAATGATATAGGGTGCCTCAAAAGTTACACTGCAATTGGAAAAGAACATGCACTTGTAACAAGGCAAGTAGAGAACACTTGCATGACACCATATTAGATGCATAAAACTGTCATATATGAAATTTAAACAAGTTTTCATTCTCTGTATGAATTGTATTCTTTCAAAATTCCACCCTTCATTTATGCTGTATAAAGTTCCAAGATCAATCATTGACATTATTTTATGTTACCTTGAGCGGATTATGGGATTTGTAAAGGGTAAACATTACTAATAAAAAAGATAAAGTGCAGTATAAATACATACCAAATTTAACAACTGTGCCCCTCCAAAAATCTTGATAACCAGAGCCTTATATCCGATCTTTCTACAGACCTAGCCTTTCTAACAACCCAATGGAGGAAACCTGGCTTGTAATTTTCAACACCAAAAAAATAAATAAAGTCATTTCATCATAACTGAACTGACCTTAAATTCACAACAGTTATGATGAATGACAGAATTATAAAAGAGGTACCTTGCTTTGAGAATGTATTGGGACAAGTTCACCCCAGACCTCAAGTGAAATTTCACATATACTATCCATTGCTAGAGATGCTGGAAAAAAATGGTTGGCTCCTCCTGCCAGGCTCTATCTTTGCAAGAATCAGCTCAGACCCAAAAATGGAGTATTGCTGCCATATCTGGGCTGGAGTTGCACAATCCTCTCTTTCCAGCCTTGACAGTGTCCAAAAGCATTTACGCAACTTTGTAAGTGATAAATTATTTTTCAGCTTCAACCCCTTTCCTACATATCTAAAATGGCAAACATTTGGCTACTCTATCGCTATTTCCATGGAAAAAAATTCTGATGAGCTTCATTCTCTAGTTCTACCAGTTCAGACAGCTAAGTCCCATCATTGCATGAACACGGGGGTGAACCATTCCCTTTGTATTCCATTGGTAAGAAAGAAGTTCTATTCGGACTGCTTCATCTCAAGGGTCATTACTCTGTGGAACAGACTCCCAAGAGGATGATTCTCTGATCACTACACTCTTAACCTCTTCAAGTCTAACATCAACTGTTATCTATCCTACATATTCTCATAATCTATATTCCTAAACAATAAAACAACTCAATTAAGTAACCATATATCTTGGGACTTGTATTGAGTGAACAACAGAGAAAAGAAAAAACAGATGTGTTCTTCTCACTACTTGTAGAGTAAAAGGCAGCAGCCTCACCACATCAGTGTTGCTGCCAGCCCCATACATGCTTTGAATTCAGAGCTATCCTTTACCATGACTGGTTGTCAAGAAAAAGCTAGTCTTCTCTGATATTTAGTTGATAGCTGCATGAAGAAGAAACAGATTCATACCTTCCCAAGGATATGAAAGTGAATGCAATGACCTTGACCAGAATTTGTACTTGACAAACCAATCCAATTTTCTGTACTAATAACAACTACCTTACACACACATGTGACAAAGTGGAGGGGGGAGTATATATTTATTTTAATAAAAATATACAGGAAATATATACCCATGTAAAAACATTGACTTGCATAATAAAATCTGAGATTGTACATTGTCTAGATTTGAACCTTCCCTGCTAGCTGGTCTCCATGTACATATCGGTAAAGTGACATCCACGTTAAATGGGTTTCCAAGGATATGAGATGCAAGTTAAAACTTTTTGGGTTTGGAGGTTACATTATTTCTGATCCCTGCTGCTAACTTCATGGGTGAAGAATGTAAAAAGAAAAAAAAAAAAAAAAAGAACTGAACGTTTAAAGAAAAAGCAACAATAAGATGAAAGATAAACAAGTCAAGAATTAATAATGAAAACACTTCTAAGAAATTTAAACAAGTCAGCAGAGTTCTCTCTCTGTATTTGTAGATCTAACAAAAAGAAAAAATATACTTGTAACCATTAAAAAAAAAAAAAAAAAAATCAACCATAGCATCTTATCTTTCTTTTGGCTGTGAAAAGTAATCAATCGATTTTGACTGATCAATTGTATGCAGAAGAGAAGCAATCAAACAAATTAATGACTTTTTAATTGATCTCTGATGGCTCTTGGCATACTGTGTACAGAATAGCTATCTCCATTCATACATTGCCGATAAAATCACTGCATCTGTGTTGAAGCCGACTTTACCGATTTATATGCACAAAAAATCTGGCAATGCACTGCTTAATTTAGAAATATTGATATCAATTGTGCCATGTGCAGTTTAAATGCAATAAAACATCATTGAAACAAAGTCTGAATCAATGACTGATTTACACTGCACTGTTAAAAGACTTTTAGGAAACCTGTTTGCACCATTAATAAAATTCTCATCTCAATTTTACAGCTATTTTATGAAAATACTTTAGCCTGATCTTCCTTAATATAAGATATTTCCTTATTATGGTAACAGGAGACAAATAACCTATGCTAATAAGCAAGCATGCCTTATATTACCATAAGGACGAAATATCTCATGAAATTTAGCCATGGGAGATCAGGCAGCTTGTACACTGGTTTTTATTTTGTTTTAGATTTCTTTGAATATGTTTACTTTTTAATGATTTAAACAGCAATTCTTTCTATTGGTATGATAATAGAGTTAATTGCAGATAAAAATCGTGGATTATTCATGCAGAATATATAACGACTGCAACTGCAAAAGTATTTACATATTGCAGTCATGTTTTATTCTGATTGATTGATTTGTTTTCTATGGCTCACCAACCTTGTGCAAGTTATTTAAAGCCAAAAAATATCTTTTTTTTTTTTGAGATGATAATGGTTTTATGATACATGTCTTACTAACCCATAGCTGGAGGATAAGAGGTAGATTCATCCCATTCCCAAGAGTATTTGCATGTAAGTGAATATAACGAACACAACTGGAATCGGAACTCAGCTCTTCAATTAACAATTCTGAGCAATTATCCATTACGCCACTCACATATCCAAGTTTACAGCACCTGGTATTCCAAAGCAGTCACTCATCTAGGTACTGACCAGGCTCAATGTTACTTAACTTTAGGGATCATACCGGATCCAGTGTTTTAATGTGATGTGGCCTTAAGTTGGTCATATTTCAATAGGTTTAGTAACTAACATACTTACTATACTCTATTGTTTTTTTTTTATGTTAGATAAATCCAAGTTCGACAAAAGGTCACTTTAATAGAGCATCCAGTGAGAAGTGACCTTGTTAATGAGATTATTAGGCTACTATGAGTATATAGTTCCTATATTTGGTACCAGGCGAGATTTCTAACATGTTTGTTTCACAGAGATTCATGCAAAAGGTTTTTTTTATTGTTTATCAACACTTAGTGGTTTATTTAAAGGTAAAACATTTCAGATTTTGTGGGAGGTTGCATGTAGTACTTGGTGTTCCCAAATGGAAAGGAATATGAAATCAAAATGGTTTTTCTCTTCGAAAGAAACCTGAGACAAATATGGGTTGAGTTAGAGTATTTTATGACATATAAACTTTTGTTGGGTCGCATAAAATCTGTAAGGGTTTCATTATGTTTGTGTCTGTGGGAAAACATGGCTTTCATCTGTACTTGACCCTGCAGGTAAACACAACTAGCATCTGCATTTAACTCTGCAGGTAAAAACCAGATTGGGTATATATTACAGCCAGTGAGCATTTACTTTGTAGGTGACCCCTTTTGGGTAAGGATCTTATTCTTTTGCAGAGGATGCAGTCGGCTTATACTAGGCTCTGCAAATGGAGCATGGTTTGAGGCCTATTATAAGTAACTGTGTATATTAAGTTAACAATATCAAGGACTTTATAAAAATTTCAGATGTGATGAAAACACACTGTAATCTGTATTTTAAAAAAAATCTAATAAAATATAAAAACAGAATAGTTATACGAAAGATTTGTCTTTCAAAGCATCTGGTTTACATTTGTTCCTGTCATGTTCTATTTTAAAAATGAACTTAATTTTTTTTATATACATGGTATTTAAGGGTGGAAGCCCAAGCAAATATAATCTGATGCCAAGCTCAAATTCAGAATAGGCTTATCACTTGAAAGAGTCAACTCACGTTTGAAAGGATTAGGTTTTTTCATATCACAGAAGCTCTTGAAATTAAATTCAAATAAAGGCTTATCTTAAAACAGAGGCCAGACAAAAGCATTATCATGAATTAAAATATTTACTTCAGCATTTCTTTATTTTTTTATAAATAATAATGCACTATCTAAATGACACTACTTTTAATTCTTCAATGTTTTTCCCGGTCTTATAAGAGTATACTGAAAACAGATTTGCTGTCTAAGAATAGATTGTGATTTGAAAGCATCGACGCTTTGTACCAGTGGATCTTCACAGCTTACTCAGTATTTATTTACTCCAAAATTCTGTTGAATTCAACTGCCACATCAATTTTGCAGCTTTTATATTTGAAGAATTTCAATTCAGCTTCTCTTTATTCAAACTTATTGTGAGAAGATTTAATGATTATTATTAGTAGTAATAGTAGTAGCAGTATTCAAAGAAAGAGGAAGAAGGTGAAAAATAGAAGTATAACAAGGAAGAGATAAAGCAATAACGAAATAGAGGAAAAAGAAGATGAGAAGAAAGAAAGAAAATAAATTAATAATGAGAAATCTAAGAACAATGTGAAGTGTAGAAAAAGAAAGAAGGTTGAAAAGTTACAAAAGAAAAAAAAAGAGAAAGAAAAAATGAGAGTAGTAGTAGTAGAGATGGGAGGAGAAAGACGAAGATGCTGATAACAAAATAAAGGAAAAGAAGCAATTGTGATTGGGGTGGGAGTGTACAAGGGAAGTACCCAATAAAGAACTACAATTTCCAACATTACATTTTATTTATTTATTTATTCATTTGTGTTTCCTTTTCTACCTGGCAGAGTGTACCTAATTTGTTTTGCCAGCTATACAGCAACTATACTGCCCACAAAGCAATAGCAAGCAGAAGACTTTTGAGATGACCTCTTCCATTCACTGATATAATAAAGCAATTTTATCAGGAGGTTGGGAAATAAGCTCCCCGGGACAGACACAAATGTACCATTCAGTGATAAATGTGGTAAATGTATAGTATAGCTACTCAATCAGGCAGTAGTTTATCTAAATACGTCATAAGGTATCCAATTTATTTTTTATATGTTGTATGCTGAAGAGAAAACAGATTTCTCTCAAATAACTAGTTTATATATATATATATATATATATATATATATATATATGGTGTGTGCAGCATGTTTGGAAAGTGCCTGAAAACCATACCACAGGTTGGCCCAAGCCTTGTAAGTGAAATTAGGTACACAGAACCCTTGGTGGCCATTGATGGTTGTGCTAGCATGAAGTCGCAAGTCATCGTGACTGAGGGTTTGAATGTGCTGGCCTTGTTCAGACTGTTGATCATTCTAGATAACATACTCTCTCCCAGAAACTGTAACTAAGGTCTGCTCAACATAGTTGCAGTATGAACCAGAGGTGGGCTCTGTGGGTGTTGAACAAACACAAAATGTGCCTGAGTGGGCATTTGCAATGGAGTTTAGCTAGACGCCCTAGTAGACAGGCATCTTCGGATGTGAGTGGCCAGCCCTCATTTGTGTGTGTGTATATCTATATATAAAATAAAAAGAAAGAACACTTAGATTTATAATCCAGAGTTCTTTAACATTTATTTTTAAAAAACAGTGCTCGATACACAGTAGAGCATAATATTATTAATTATTTTTTTTAAAATGTTTCAATTGTGACACAGAAATTATTATGTTTCAAAACCAAAATTTAAACTAAACTTAAAATCTGAAGTCACTTGTATCTTCATTTGTTAAAAAAGTCAACACCCCCTTAATAAAACATTCTGAATTCTCATTACCCCAGCAACTTAAAATATATAATACTATTTGGCTTATAAATAGAGTAAATCAAGTTTTTTCGAAGGTTATTCTCAGCATTGCTTGAAAATGGAACTGAACTTGAAATTTTAAATTTAATTTAAGTTTTGGTTTTGAAACAGTAATTTCTGTGTCGCGATGGAAACATTTTTTAAAAAATAATTATAACATATAAACACAAACACACACTTTGTGGTAGGGTGCTCAAAATCAAAGATAGAGCATAAATAGAATTAATATGAAAAAGTTGTGTGCACACACAAATTACCTTCAATTTATAAGTTCACATATTTAAAGATTTATGTATAGACAATTCTCATACATTATCTATATATTTATATCTACATATGCACACATTGATGTGTGTTTCTAAAAAATTCTACTAATTGTGAGATTTCATGTTTAACATTACAAAAAAGGTGATGAAAAATTCTCAATCAAACCAAGAAAAGAAAAAAAAATTGATGTTGGATCACGTTTTGGGAGATGGTTCAGGCAGCACTCCGTCAAGTACATCACTTTTCTTTCATTTATAAAGATGCAACAGTTAGCAAGCTGGTCTTGTAAATCATTACGACTGAACTAAGATTTTAATTCTCACCGAGTGGTGGCCTTTACATTTATGGCCATCAAGCTAATCTTTGTAAATAATCACAAAATCAACAAAAGAGCGTCTCATTACAGCTACGTTTTATGAGTTGGTCTTAGAGATCATTACCATAGTGTAGTGAGTCTGGTCCTCACTAGGTGCCCTATACTCGTGGCCTTGTACTAAAAAGTAAATTATATTTAGTAAATAATGACATCAATATCTGGAGTTTATATCTGCCTCAAAGTGGGGTTAAGCGCACCATTTTTTTTCTTATAAGCAAATTGCATAAAAGCAGCAGCAGCAGCAGCAGCTGTATTTAAATTTGACTAAATCTTAAACAATTCTGCTATTGACGTCAGCACGGCTTAAGCAACTCAGAAAATGAAAATATGAGATTGAACAAAAGGAATTACGAAATACATTATCGGCTTCAGGATCCAAGAACTCTACCAATTCTACTTGTTTACTTATGCTGAAATGTTTTTTTTTCAATTTTTTAGACCCAGGCATGACACATTTAAGCAAAAATTCTTTTATAAAAGTTAAGCAACATCCTTGTCAAAATCCTACGTGGTTTAACAAAAAAAAAAAAAACAAAAAAAACTTGCAATGTGAGCCAATTCACAAGTTTCACATGATCGATTCCAACAAATAACCCACTTATTCTCCATGTCATGTTTCTTCAGGATGTAGGTGATCATGACTCTCCACAACTTCCTCTCCTTTGTAGCTCTTAGCAATATTTGTCTTTTTATTATCCCAACCACTCTCTGTTCTGCCATCCATTTATACCAGTTCATTAGGTAGTTTACTCATGGTTTCATTCTGTAACTTTTGTCTTGTGAGTGATAAATTTTCCAAGCCTCCTTTTCTCAGTATGCTTGTCATGGAAAGTGGAATTGTTGGGCAGATTTGAAATTCCAGCCTAAACAGCTGTGGTCACTTTCACAGTAATGCCTTGGGAAAAGCATGAATCCATCTTTCTCAAATGCTTGCTATGTGTTAAATAGCCAGTAAAGTGGGCACTCTAGCCTTGGATGGCAAACATTTTAGAAAGATAAAATCATGTAGATACCTGCTCAGACACATTTGTGGTTGTTCAAGCCCAACTGTGGTTTATAATGCAACTATGCTGGGAAGACCTTAGTTAGAGTTTCTGAAAGAGAGAATATTATCTAATGTGATCAAACCCTTGGTCATGATGACTTCTGACTTTGTGTTTTCACAATCCTCAATGACATCCAAATGGTTCCATCTACCTAATTTCACTCACAAGGCTTGAGTCAAGCAATGGTATGGTTTTTCAAGCACTTTCCAAAGGTGCCACATTGTGAGATCACCTCCTCAGGCAATAATATCAAGAAGTCATCTTCCTGACAAAATGACCAACATGGTCATATTTGAACCCAGATCTCATGATTGGAAAGCAAAATTTCTAACCACTTGCCCATGTGCCTGTGGAAATAGGATTCAACTAAATCATCAATTTAATGAGTTTTGAAAAAAAAATTACTTTGCCATTTTTATTTTTACGAGTGTGCCATCAATCCTATGGTCTGTCCCCTGCTAAATTTACTGACAGAAAGCTAAAGGTT